TCAGGGCTGAGGAATGCGCGCCGCCCGCCCCGGGCACCTCCTCCGGGAAGACCGCCGGCTGCGCTCTACCAGGCGTCCCGTAGAGACACCTGTGGCTGGGAGTCGAGCTCGCCGGTGGTCAGCGTTGGTCCTGGGCTCGCCTTCCCCTTGTGCTGCCCCTGTACCTGGGGAGGGAGGCAGGAGAGCTCCAGAGCAAGGGAGGGTGGGAAGCACCTAAAGATTGAACGCCCTCAATCTTTGAAAGCACTCACTGGTAAATCACTGAGGCTCGTCCGGAAACCCACACTTCCCTCATGCACACCCTCCTGATCCTTCCTAGTAAACACTCATGCACTCAACCCCTAACACGCCTGTTTACACAGATACATGCGCACACGTGCACTTCAAATGTACTTTCATGATAGGCTCATACTCTCACCCTAACGCATTTACACATGTACACAATAACACTCCTACCCTGATACACTGTGTCATGGGAACCCTAGCTCAGCAATTACCCCAGCCCAGCAATTACCCCTTCCCCTACTTCTTTCCCAGCAGGTACAAGGGCCAGACTGCACCTGCCACCCCTTAAGCCATTGTGTAGAGTGACAGCAGCATTCTGCACACCCTCCTCTTCCCTCTGCCTCAGCGCCCAACCATCAGCTCTGGAGTAGAAGCTCGTTTCTCTGTAAATTGGACACAAAATGCTCCTTTATCCTCAGCTGAGGCCACAGCTGAAGGAGGAAGCCGTCCTGATGCAGGGTTCTGGACTCCTGTAGCCCACACATGCCAGACCAGAGATGGGACAGTCTCCATACCTAGCATTCTTGGCCCCTGCTAGGAATAAGCAGGGTCTGGATGCCCAGACTGGGCTAGCTTGGATGGTGTCCTTTCCAGACAATCAGGAACTGGCCACAGCTGGGCAGCTAGTATCTGTAGGTTCCTCCTCCTGTCATGGATGCTTCAGGGGTCCGCCTAGACCTATGTTGAGACCTAGAAACCTATTCCCATATGCAAAAAGTCCTACAGGAGATCCACAGTAAAGACACACCCAGCTCCAAGAGTCAGTCATCCTTTTACATATATATATTCTGTTTATTTATATCTCTGTGTGTGTAGTTGCAGGTGCCTACAGATGCCAGAAGGGGCACCAGCTCCCCCTGGAACCATAGTTACAGTTGTGAGCTGCCCGATGTACAGGGGCTGGGAATCAAACTCGCAGCAAGCTCTCTTAACGGCTGAGCATCTATCTCTCCAGCCGTCGACCGACAATGCTGCCATTCCACAGAGAAGGCTGCCTGCATGCGGTGACAGAAAAACGGCTTTCCAGGATTCATTGCCCCAGGGACCTTGCAGTTCCCACGCTCCAGGGGAGCCTCTTGCAAACCCTGCAATCTCCGTCCACTTACACAGGTGCTGTTCCCAAGAGCATGATCCCTGCAGACGAATGCCCACCTCAACACACGGGGAACCTTAGGCTTTTCCAGACACAGCCCACCCTGGCCTCCTGAGTAAGGGCATGAGGACGGTGTGAGCGGAGGAGTGTGGACCTATGTCAGGCCTGGATCCAATCTCTCCAATCCCACTACCTCCTGCCTGCCTTATTGACCCTGCTTTGGGTGCAAGAGCCCAGAACTTGAAATCCCAGCCCCTGGCTTCTCTCATACTTTCACGGACTGTGCAGAACAGGAAGTCAGCCGCAACTCCTGAACACTCTGGGAGCTGGTGAGCAGGTGGTCAGGGTGGACACGGCCTCCAGATCTTGTATAGTACTCTCCCCAGCACCTGTGTGGATCCCTGAGCAGTCAGAGGACTCCCAACAACTGCTTCTTGGACCTTCAGCTTAGCTTCCAGGCTCAACATGAAGAGAGGATGTAGGAATGAACCCTACAAATTGCAAGACCCTGGCAATTTGGGGAGAAGGCCTAGCTAGCCAAAGGCTTGAAGCCCTCAGCTATTTCTGAGGCAACCCCCTCCCCATAGTCCTGGACTTGGCAAGGGGGTCCTATAAGCTCCTGGGCCAAGAGCCTAGCAGCCTTGACAGCATACCTCCCCTTGGCCTGCCTAATGTCTGCCCTCTGCCCAAGGATTCCTCAAGGCTCTGCTCCCCCCCCCCCATTAGAGAGAGTCACTGGGGCCTGTCAGGATGTCAGCAGTCACTCTGCTGAGACGCTGCTGGAAGGATGCGAGTTTCCAAA